TAGTCTGCATTATAAGATCATTCATAAAACACTTCTATCACTGCGGGAAATTTTGTGCGTGGACGTGCCCTGGGTGGAGCTGACATCTCTGCAGCCTCTTCTCCAGGACCCCCTCTGACATGCGATGGCCTAACCGCTCACCTGTCTCTCCCCCCCCAGTATGGCACCACGCTCCTCATGGTCGCCTCCTATGCCGGTCACATAGACTGTGTGAAGGAGCTCGTTCTCCAAGGAGCAGACATCAATCTCCAGAGAGAGGTAGGTCAGACGTTGCACTTGATTAAGAATGACCCAGGTGGCCGAGGCTTGAAGCTTTCACAATGGTGAATTGTTAAGAAGGGCAAGAGTAGTCATTGCTTTTCTCCTATAAGACACTAAAGCCTAGACTGCAGACTTTATTGTGCCTAAATCAAGGCCCAGGAACTGACCATTGGTTGTGCTTCAGTTGAACATATCTTCTTAGGCACGTGTTTTCCCTTCTTCCCTGGGATGATGTGTTATAGAATTCGTAGAATTTTCATAGAGATCATTGTATTTTTAGAAGGATTATATCACCAACCTGTTCTTAATGAGGCTCACTTGCTAGACTATCTCTACTATCCCTACCAAACCATGTTTTCAAAGAACTTCTCTGACTGGCTATGTATTAAATCTCTCCTCCCAAAATCCATGTGGTGAGCATTGGACTAAAATGTGAGCCTGTTCCCATACTTCATTCAGAGGCATTCTTGGGAGTTCCATCTGACCAGAAGATCCATTCTTGGTCCCATGTAGAGGAGCAATGGGAGGCTAGGACATTTTAACATACTTTGGGATTCAGGTCTAAGAAGGGTTCATATATTTCCAAAAACAATATAGGGCCTGGGAAATTAACCTTCATGGAGACACATGTGTAGGTCAGTCCACACTGACTCAGACCGGAGATGGGCATTTTGGAGCAAGCTCCAAACCAGACTGGGGCACTTGGTTTTCCTTGATCCACTCTTAGCCGGAGGCCTGCCCTACAGTTGTTTCAGAAAGGACGATTCATTAACCAAACTTTCATCACGCAGAACAGCTCGTCTTACAAGCTGGACTGCCACCCTGTGTGGAGCCAATTAAGGGCTGGATGTTCCATGGGGCATCTAGAAGTCTCATCTGCACTCTGGGCATCACCATGGCCTTGGACCATGGGAGAGTGACACTTAATGGATGGAATCTGGAGTCTGGTTCTCTGTTGTCTGGACTAGCAAGCCTGGTCTGTTGAGAGGAGCAGTACTCAGAGACTACAGCAAATCCAACCAGCCTTCTTACAGATTCTTCTGAGAATTTCCATAACACTGGATCATTGTTTTAGGTCATTTTCATTCCAGCGGCTAACTTTTTTCTTGGAAGAAAATGTTTGGACCCATTTAGAATTATAGTTTAAAATTACCCTATTCTTTTTTATTTTTCCTCTTGCTTTCCAGTCTTTATTTTAACTTTAAAGAAAAGACAGATTTTTCACTAATAAAAACAATGTGATTCAGCTCTGCTTACTCAAAAACTTTATCCTTAAAGGCAAGTTCAAATGCACAAAAATATCTTCAGGTCACCTGAGAACGCTGAGAGAAGAAACATTTGTTTGATTTCTAGCCAATATATGGTTTTTATTGTTTTATATTTGTCTGTTTGGTTCTATTTGCTCAGCTAATGTTCTTGAAGAGGTAAACTATTGTACATTGAACACAGTGGAGCTTGAAGACTTCCCAGAGTGTGCCCCATCTGGAGGTAGCATGTGTGGCTTAAATGATGATATTATGTAAGTTCCTGGTGGTCCCCTGAGGCCATGGAACTCTGGGGCAATAGACCTGCTAATCCAAAGAGAGGCCCCAAGCTTACCTTGCATGTTTTGGAATCTGAACGGGAGTGTTTAGTGGTGCTGTGGAACTTACTCATATAAGCAGACTTCTACCTTGGTTCATGTATACTCCATTCTGCAATATCAGAGTATTTGTTTCCTGAAAAAGTACCTGCCACTGTTTTCTTAGGTTGGCCATCCAGACACACAGAGCTTGTGGGAGAGACAAACTAGGAGCTAATGGTCCTGGAAGACTGTTGCTCTAGAGAACAGCAATATTGTCTGAGTACAACTCTCAGGTACAGAAGCTGCACATGAAGTTTTCATGAGGCCCTGGGTTTTGGGAGTAAAGCCCATGCATTTCAGACCTTTATTCACATTCCAGACTGAAGTCTAGCTCCTGCTGTCTACAGAGTGCTGTGTTCCCATGCACGATGATTGATAGTATGTACATTCCAAAATTGCCTCAAACTGCTGTAAATATGATTTTGTAATTAATGTATCAAAAAAGCAAATCCTCTTTTTTAACGAAGAAACAACACCTAGAAATGAATGTTGTCATTGGATTTAGGGCCCCCCCAGATAAGCATCTCCTCTCAAAATCCTTAACTTACATCTTTTGCCATGTAAGTAATATTCACAAGTTTCAGGAATTAGGACGAAGACATATCTTTTGGAAATCCACCATTCCACTGCACCAAGAATAAAGTTATCCTTTTATTTTGTCACTCCTCTGGTCAAAAAATATAATCAGTTCCAATATAGCCCCTTCCTAGGCTTTAAGTTTTATACGCAAGGATATTGCTTTATTTTGCTTGCAGATGTATAAATCAAATGTAATGTAGCCAAATATCTTTTAAAACCAGCCTCTGTTCTCTCCCAGTCAGGCACAACTGCCCTGTTCTTCGCTGCCCAGCAAGGTCATAACGACGTCGTGAGATTTCTCTTTGAATTTGGAGCATCCACTGAATTTAGAACCAAAGTAAGAGAACTTTCTTGATTTCATACTTATTGAAGAATTTCAGCAATCCTGAGTATTCATTTCTTTTCATCTATAGTACAAATCTGCACTTCCTTTTTTATAAGACTTTCAAGCTTAGGAAGGTAGGTTTCCGTCACAAGGTGCCTTCAGGGGTCATCCTAAGGATTCAATTTAAAACATGACAATTTTTACTCTGGGCTCACAATTGGAGAATTTTATGAAGAATCACATAGATTCTTTTTTGCACTTGTAGCTTTCTACTCTAGGACACTAAATTCTGTTACCGGGATGGATACAGTAGCAGGTACTTTAAACTTTCCCTGTTTTCATGTGCTTTTTACTGCTTCAAGGTTAATCCCAGTACTATGATAGGAAATGTTGAAGTATTAAGCTGATCCTAGTGAATCTCAGAGATTCTAAGGAGGGTGATTTGGCAGGTTGTTTACCTTCTGAGATACCCTCACTGAAATACATAATATATGATTACAGTTTATGTATTTGGGCAAGAGGAGCCATTGATTCTTCATATTGGACATGTTTGATAAGAAAGCTGAGACTGCAGCAAGATCAACTTGGTGTTCCCAAAATGTTTTAAGTGATAATGTGTTGTAGTAGGAAGATTTGAACTGCCATAATTTTTTTGTAATTGTCAACTTATTTCTGGCCTAATCATAGTAAAAAAATCCTGAAAATCTGCCCCAGTTGGAAATTTTTAGGTTTTCTTAATTCATTGCATTTGATATTTCAATATCAAGGGAGTTTCCACTGGTTTTTTTTCTTATTAAAATGATAACTATTGCATATCAGTTTTCTGAATATCAGGTTTCTGTCTTTTCTGAAACCTGCTGTTGGGCTATGTCCCTGCCCCCGAACGTGCTGAATATAATATACAAAATATATGTGTGTATATATTTTATATTAATTATCATTTTATTTTTCACCAAAAAAATGATACAACTTAAAACAGAGAGTAAAGTTTTACAAACCTAAATCTCAACTCTTTGAACTATGTCAAAATGATCATGTGTAGCCACATGGCTGCTTCAGTCTTCTTGGTTAGCAAATATGCTGGCTTAAAGCCTTTGTACATGAGCCAGTTTGTGTTGTCCCCGGAATTCCAGGGGGAGCCATTCCACAGGTTTCCATTAGGTCAACTGCAGGTGTCCAAGAGCTTCCCATGGGAAAAAGAGTGTTGGAAGGCTTTGAGTTTTAATACTATCCTGTCGTCAAAACTGACTTGTGTCAACAATTGTACTCATTGTTATTAAATCTATATCCCCAAAAATGTGTTTTAAAAATAAAAGTTATCAGCTCTTGTATGACAACCATCACATTTAATCTGTTCTCTAAACTCTTTAGGCAAAGAGCTGAGAAAATCAACAGAACAAAACTTGGAAACATGAGTGTTTCTGTCTGCTATTAAGCAATTTTTTGATTCTCACCCAGCCCTCCAATACCCCACCACCACTACCACCTCAGCCTTTCAGTCTCTCTCCTCCATTTCTCACCCTTCAAAATTCAGCTCTCCCCCACCACACAGCCCATCCCTTGCTGAAGCCTTACTCAGCCACAAGTGTCCCCCAGGATCTCACCTGCCTGTGAGCGCAGGAGCTCTTGTAGCAGCGTCTGTCCAAGTGAGACCCACCTGCCACCTGCTCACCACAGTTCCCTGACATGACTGGACAAAAGGCCTATTTCTGGGCCTCTCCCCAGACCTACTGAATCTGAGGACATTTTGAATAAACACTCTATGTCCAAATTTAGCAACCATACTATCTCATATTTATGATTTGTATTTTAGAACTAGGTTACATGTTCTTGCATTATTTATAATTAGCTCAAATGTCCACATGCCAATTCACAGAGCCAAACAAACAACAGCCCTAGATGGGAAGAGAGAATGCATTAGCTTCAGCACCTGAGAAAAACCATTAAGGGTTTCAGCTGACCACAAACTCAGTGAGTCAGTAGTGTGATGTGGTTGACATAAAAGCTAATTCTAATTTAGGCTGCAGAAATAAAAGGAGAGTAGATAGAACAGAGGAATGTCCCACTCCACATCAGACCACATCCACTTTACAGCTCTGTTTAGTTCTGGGGCTCACATTTTAAAAGAGACCTGGACAGACTGGCACACGTTCAAAGGAAAATACTAAGTAGAATGGTGAGAGGCACATGGAATATGCTGTAATTATCCAATTTTTAAGGGATGCAGATCTTGTTTCATGAAGGCAATGGCCCCAGAGGGTTACCCTATAAAAGTACCTTAATCTCAGAGGCCTGCAACTGGGTGGAACCACAAGAAGACGCCAGTGTTTGTCAAGAGGGTCTCTGGCCAGAAGCCAAGGAGACTATTCTGTTAATTCCAAGACAGATCTGATTTGTACAGACTTTCTGTTTTTTGTTTCCTTTATTGAGAGGCAAATAGATGAGCCTGCATTTGACGTGGGAAATTTTTATTTATTTTTGTTTTTCAATTACAGCTGACATACAATATTATATTAGTTTCAGGTATACAGCATAGTGATCAGACCTTTGTATAACTTACAAAGTGATCACTCTGATAAGTCTAGTAGACATGGGACATTTCTAAATTAATCATAATATTTTAGTCAAACAACTGAAATAAATCTCAGGCAAATCATCCAAGTGTACATGATGAAGTCCTTAACACGAGCTCTGTCAGGGTTATAAAGAAAACGTAAAAGGGACAAAAGAGGAAATGTGAGTTTGTTATTATCTATGGAAATTTCTTTTCCAAAGTTCTCGCGGAATGAGGAGCATGTGTTTGGCATGATTTGTGCCTGCACTGTTTCTAAAGTGTTTACACTTTGCACGCCCGTAGGATGGAGGCACTGCCCTGTTGGCCGCCAGCCAGTACGGGCACATGAAGGTGGTGGATACCTTGCTGAAGCATGGAGCCAACATCCACGACCAGCTTTATGTGAGTGTTTCAAGGGAACCCTGCTCATTCCCTCATCACACACACCATTGCAGTCTCAATTTGGCTTCCAAAAATATTTTAATGAACAGTAAGACCTTAATCTGANCACACACCATTGCAGTCTCAATTTGGCTTCCAAAAATATTTTAATGAACATCAATNACCATTGCAGTCTCAATTTGGCTTCCAAAAATATTTTAATGAACAGTAAGACCTTAATCTGAGACATCAAGGGGAAAAAATAGTTAACCATATCGCCTTTTTCTATGTAGAAACCACACAATCTTATTTATCCATCTTAGTTTTGCCGTTTTAAATCTCTTACACATGCAGTATTTCCTGTACCTACGCAATTAGGATCTTCAAAAGTCATGTGATGCATATTCATTCATAACATGACAAGCCCAGCATATGGACTTGCTAAAAACCAAAATAAGTTCTGTTGTGGGTTTATCTGGGAGGAGGAGCACACAAAAGGAGAAATCATATTATTTGGAAGAGAAGTGAGGTTAGGTGAAGACCTGTGAAGTACATGTACTTTGAAAGGCATCCACGGCTAGTGTGGGACTGTTTGCAGCTAATTGGCAATTAGCACATTACCCAAGCACTCTTTTAATTCATTGTCATTGTAATTCCAAAGGATTTATGGCAAATGTGATTTTAGTTTTATAGGAAAAAAGAAAATACGGGGAGATGATGTGACTTAAGTATGATAGTGAGGCGTGGAAGAACTCCTGTTCCCAATCATCTAGGAGCCACATTTTAGGCTCTCCTACCTGTAGACAGTTAGCCCTTACGCCTAGGGCACTATATACTTAAACAGGCATGTAATGAGATGTGTAGGTGTGAACTTTTCCATTTGAACACCCTTTCTAGCCATTACACGGTTAACTGACAAATGACAGACCTCTTTGAAGTACGTGGCAAGTAGCTTTACCCTTTGTACTTCAAAATCCATAATACTCTGAGCCCAAGCATTCCCCGTTGAATGGCTGAACTACTTGAAAATGATCTAAAGGAGTCATTCTCAGCTCTGCTGCCCATTAGAATCACCTCCAGAGTTGTAAAAAATACCACTTCCCAGGCCCACCCCAGACCAACTAAGCTGGAGTCTCTGAGGGCACAGCTTGATTTGAGCAACAGGTGGTTCTGACCTGTGGCCAAGTCTAAGAAACACAGGTCTACAGCTACTTCTTTGGCTGNAAGCTGGAGTCTCTGAGGGCACAGCTTGATTTGAGCAACAGGTGGTTCTGTCCTGTGGCCAAGTCTAAGAAACACAGGCCTACAGCTACTTCTTTGGCTGTGTANGATTTGAGCAACAGGTGGTTCTGACCTGTGGCCAAGTCTAAGAAACACAGGTCTACAGCTACTTCTTTGGCTGTAGGAGCAGCATATCTGAGAGTGTGTGTGAGTAAATGTATGTGTAGGCTGACTAGGAAGAGCCCAAGTCTTTGGAAAAAGAGAATGAGTTGTGATTTTCATAGCACCCCAAATTGATGGTGGGTATAGAATTTGTACTGTTAGATAATAATCTTCCATAAGGTTCATCAGGGTGGCACATAATTGTAGAAATGCTGAGTTTGGGAAGAGCCCATTTCCACAGTAAATTCATCTCTGTTATAAGGTGACTCACGAAGTTCATGCAGCGGAACTTGCATTTTCTGTTAAGACTTTTACCCTTACCCAAACAGTCCAGTGTAAATCTTTTCACAAAAGACAATTGAAATATGGGAAATCCCTGTCATTGATCCCTGAAACTTCTAGGAACAGAAGTTTGTAATGAACAGTAAAAAATCCAATGCATAGATATCCATTTTAGAAACTCCCTAAGAGTTATGAGCTGCTAAGGGCCTGGAAGACTTCCTGTGGCAACACAGTAAGGAGCAGCTGAAATTTTCATTCCCATATCAAACACCTGCTTAAAAATCTGTACAGGCTAATTAATTTTTTAATGATTACCTTGAGGGGAGTCTGGCAGCTCACTGACTCCTACTGGAAATCCGGCACCCTCCACGTGGTTGGACTTGCAGGGAAAAGTGCTTTGTATTTTAACCTGTGGTTGATGTTCCTATGGGAGGGTGGTAATTAGCTGGGTTTGCTGGGTGTTTTCCACTAGGATGTGCTCCGGTTTTCCACTTTGGTCTAAAAGTAATGAAGCTCACCGTGTTCTGTCTGTGTGAAGTGAGCAGCTAGGGAGGATGCATACCCTCAGTTGACCCATGTATTGCTGAAATTACCCAATGACACATCTTCAAGAAAAAATAAATGACCAGAAGACACAGACACCCAGTTAAAAAGAAAACGAAAGAAAACTGGAAACAAGCACTTGCTTTGGACTTTTATGCAAGATTGCTTAGTTGCATGTATAGGTGTTATGGGCGTCTCCTGGGCTGACAGGGCGCAAGATTATGGACATTCTTACTAGGGCAGTTATTCTGAAAGGCTCTTATGCTTTAAAGCTTGGAGAAACTGCACATTGTGGAGATGTGGATAAGGGGACAAGAACACGAAAAGAGTAGGAGAGATCTAATTAAAAGGACATTTTTTTCTCCTGATTCACAAAATAGATTTGGCTAATTTTGTTGTTTGTTTTTTATTAATAGGGTACTTTTTGTTTGTTTTTAAAGGAAGACTTTGCTCTTAATTACAGAAGGATTGAAATGGAAAATTGTATTAAATGTATATATTTTTAAATGTAATTAAAAAGTGGACGAACTCAGATCATGCATCAAAAGCAGAAAGCAGCCAATGAAAGTCCATGCAGACAAGAGAAAAGTGGTGACTGGATATCTGAAAAACCTAGAGGCTACTACCAAGTAGATGTATCATAAGCTCTAGGATCAAGATTTTTGTGAATAGTCATTATATACATTATAACTTATCCTTATAAAACTATTTTACCTTTCAGTCTGACTCAGTGTGATCTTTTAAAATCATTCTTCAAAGACTAAAACACTAACTATGCATGTGAAATAAAGGGGGGGGGGATGGAAATGGAAAATTATATTAAATGTATATATTTTAAAAGGTAATTTCTTTTAAAAGAAATGTGAAAGATAATTTTTTAACACTTGCAATTTGCTGTCTATCAGGATGGAGCCACTGCACTCTTCCTAGCTGCCCAAGGTGGCTACTTGGATGTTACTCGATTATTGTTGTCTTCGGGAGCAAAAGTCAACCAGCCAAGGCAGGTAATGTCCCTGTGCACGGAGCAGTGGGCAGGGAGGGCCAGCTCTCCTGCAGCAGCATTCACCTGAGACATCCAGTCAGCTCTGGGCGTCTTTAAATCCTTTTACTTCTGTGACGTGAGTTAATCTTTGATTAGCGTTTCCCCTGTAATTTGCTTTGGGCTCACCCAAACTCAGGCTGACATCACCATTTACTATTTTTAAAACTTGGGCGTTTGGTGTCTGAGGTCACATACACACTCTGCCGCCTCCTGTTCCAATAAATTATGGCTGCTCTGAGGTGATGAGAGTTGGCTAGCCTGGGACACAGGTAAACAGAGGTGTGTCAGGTAGCCTTGCCCCTGCCCGGTCCCTCCACTGATGTGCTGCCTTCTCTCTTCCCCCGACTCCTTTCACCAAGCCAGAGACGAGAAATGAAGGTGTGCAATGTCATTAGTAGGTTCCACACCTTCATCTCTCACAATTACAATACTACCGAGACTTCATTTTCCAACAGGAAGCTAACATCTAGTAAATCAACGAATTAATATTTAAAGGAATAGAACTGCAAGATAATACAGGGCCTCACTTAGAAATGGTGAAGAACCATTCCAATGTAAGGCATTATACTTAGCTTCTCTTGTGTAGGAGCTATTTCCTCACTAATTAATTTATTTTTAACAAAACATTTTAGGTTGCGGTAACTTTACTTTAAAGGTAGTTTTCTAGGGAAAAGTCAAGCTGATTTCTTACCAGTAAATGACTCCCAGCTCAATTCCCACTGTAATATGACCTGCTTTGATAATGCCTGTGTGGTCACGTAATGAATGGCGATGGGAACCTTAAGGTTGGTCCAAGTTTTGACCACAGGCTCCTTCAACCTTAAGAAGTCCAAGTGCATAAGGAGCCTAAGAATGGAAAGAACCTTTGGACAAAGTGGGTTTGAGGTCAAGAATACTGAGTTCTAGATCTAGTTCTGCCAATAACTAGCTGTGTGGTTTTGAGCAAGTGAATCAACCTCTCTGGACCTCTCTTCCTTCATCTGAAATTTGGAGGCTGGGCAGGATGATCCTGATGATCTCTTTGAGCTCCCAAATTTTTGATAATTGTTTTATTCAACATTCAGTCAGTATTTCTTGAGAACTTAACATGTGCCAGACACTGTTATGAATGTAAGATTATATTTTTAGAATTTTAAAGATATTCTTAGTTTAGGAATATTTCTGGGAAAGGAAACTTTTAGAAACAGTTATGCTTCCATTCCTTCCAGTCTTGTTGGTCCTTCTTATTTTGAAATTGTTTTTTGATTCTGACCCAGAGGCCTCATTTTACTAAATAAAAAGAATTGGTTATTTTTAGATTGCATAAGTTTTATTTGGAGGTCATTATAGAGGGTACCACTGTGAATTTAGAAATGAGAGATTATCAAGTCTCTCTTTCTTTCTGAACATTCTTCTAAAATAATTTCTGGCATTTTGACAAACCTATTTATAAAATAAATTGTATTATTCATATGCCTAAGGTACTGTTTGTAAAAAAACAAAAAGCCAAGTTGATATAAGATTATATTTCAAATGTTTGCATGGATTGTGTCCATTTGAACCTAAATTGAGTCATGTGATGATGACATTGAAACCCAGAAGTTATGAGTGAACCAGCACTGCAGCGGCGGCCACGACACACCACGGCGTTGCTCATTCCTCAGAAGTGAGGATAACCTGGTCAAAGTGGGTGACCTAGTCTGGGAGTGGGAGGGCCAGGGCCCCCCTCAGGTCAGGGAGCAAGTGACATGCCCTTCCAAAGACTGTATCTGATGTGATAGTTTGGAATTTCGAGAGTCCAGCTCTGAAAGGCTGTTATTGAGGAACGGGGTGCTTTATAACTTAAGAATCGCTCTTGGTGGGAGGGAAGCAGTAGAATTTTTCTAACCCCACCCCACAGGTAACCGCTGTGCCTGTAAAAACCATAATCTTCTTACTGCCTGCCCTGAGCTTATAAATAAAACGCTATCTAGCTATGCCAGACTGGTCCAAGTTCTGTCTTCTCTCAGAGGGTAAACTCCACATATTTAATTCCATTCCAGAAAAACAAGTCGTGTCATAAATATGGCAAAAGTGGTATCAGTCCTGGCTGACTTTGTCACAGATTATGAGATTTTAAAAAAAGCCTGGTTAAAAATTTTCATTAAAATATCCTGCACATGGTAGGGAATTTAGAAACCAGTGTTCGATTCTGAAATCTCAGCTGACACACTGTCAGAAAATTCTTGAATTTACAAAATAAGGATGAGGATATTTTTCTGGTTTAATTTCTTTATATTTTTTAGATAAATCCGATGTATAATTTTTGCATTGCCATCCTGTGGGGTCCTGACATTTTGTGGCACATATGACAGGATGTTAACAAAGTTGCTCTGAAATTATTCAGCTGACATTTGCTCTGAGCTGCAGGGAATCTGACCCGTAGTAAGAATGACTTTTCCTTGTAACTCTGTCACTGAGAAACTAACTGAAAACTGTTTTAGTACTTTCGTGAGAAGGAATCATAATTACAAAGCTAGCCACAGGCAGATTTTGGAAAGACTAAGTTTTTTTTTAATCTTCCCCTGAGAGTATTGTCCATTGCTTTTCAGAGAAAGTGGAAGGGGGAGAGAGAGAGAGAGATCTCAACGATATGAAAGAGCCACACTGATTGGTTGCCTCCCACACACACCCCAACTAGGCCGGGGATCGAGCCTGCAACCGAGGTCCGTGCCCTTGGCTGGAATCGAACCTGGGACCCTTCAGTCCGAGGGCCGACGCGCTAACCACTGAGCCAAACTGGCCAGGGCCCTCAGTCTTCTTTTTACTTGGTATGCAAAATCAATCTAACCCCTTTTCCACTTGGTTTTCACACAAATAGTAAATGACAGCTATCATAACCCCATGAATCTTATCTTCTTCAAGCTAAATATTCTGTTTCCTTTAAATAAAAGGGGGGGGGGAGGCTGTAGGTGTTAAAACTTTCACTTCATGGTGATTTATTCAATTTACTATACTTTAAAACCATATATTTTTATCAAGAAGTATTCAAAAACTTAAATATTTTAAATGCTTTTTTTCTGCTCCCAATTCTCTCTAAAACTCTACAAAAAGGAGCTAAATTGACCTAATTTCCTTCATTTTCATTATGAAGTCATCTTCACAATGAAGATTCTGGTCATTGTAATAGAAGGAAAAAGTAAAAGAAAACAGAACTTGAGGTATACAGAAGAGGAAAACCTCTCTTATTCATAAACTAGATAATCAACTGATAAATAATTTGATTTGATAATAATGCTCTAACTCATATTCAACTGCCTGGGTTCAAAAACCAGATTTGGAAAAGTAATCACTAGTAATGAAAAACACAGTGTCCCCAAAATCTCATTTTACCAATCATTCCTACCTGCTAACCAGTTATCTCACGGGGAAACTGGGAGAATCGAATTAAATAAAGCACATGGAAGTGCTTTGCAAACCGGAAGCACAAATTAAGGTACTTTCTGTTTTTCATGATACATAATATTCAGATTCAGTTACCATATTCTAAGTGTCTGTGTGTCAGTACTTGTGCTCAGCACCTTTCTATATGTTTCTTCATCCACAAATATCTCTGTAAGGCTAACATTTTTGTAGGAGGGGGCACTGAGAGTAGTTTGCCTAAGGTCTGAACCAAGAAATGGTGATGCCTTTTTCCACCTACCATGACTACTGCAATTAAGGTGATAACTGAGTGTTAGCATTACTGTTATGATATTAATAGCTGTTCCCAACATAGCACTTCTCAGCACTTTTCTACATATTAGCATCAATTAATAGAATTTTACTAAAAACAAACCCTTACAAGCATCAAACAGGCCACTGATCGCCTTCCCTTGGCTGCCCTCTGATGGTGATATCAACAAAGAACAAATGAGCCCAGAGCACATAAGGAGGGAGAAGTGCATTAGCATCTGAGCCCTGGAAAACCCTTTGTGGAATCCAGACACCCTCTCCTGCCTCCTGGGGCCCCACCCACACCCCTCTCAGGCGATGCCAGCTGGATTTCCCACCCTGCCTGAACCAGCCACTCCTGCCCAAGCCTCTGTGACTAAATGTCCTTCCATCTACATGGAATTCCCTTTCCACTCTCTCCTCCCTGGCAAAATCCTAGTTCTCACTCAGATACCACCTCCCCATCTGTGAAGCTGACCCCATAACTCCCGCACAGTAAGAGGGCCCATTTTCTGGTTCATCTGGGGCATTTCTGTCCATATTTGATTGTCTCTTCTCCACTAGACTTAGCTCCTTTGATGACAGGGATCATGTCTTATTTTTAGTGCTCTGCCTGAAACTAAGAAGATGCTTAGTAATTGTTGGGTTGTTGAATGAATGAATGATCCTCCTGAATTGGGAGAATCAAATTAAATAATGAATGGAAACATGCTTTGTAAACTAAAAGTACAAATTAAGGATGTATTCACATAGCTAATGATAAATAATATCCAGATTGAAGGCTATTTCTCAAAGGCCCTCATAAAAGGATGAAGTAGGGCAAGGTGTTCTCAGACTTCTTCTGTCCCTTGTCTCCGTTCCTCTTCTCCACCTCTCTCCCCAGACACGGAGGTGCCAATGTCCTGCTGTATCCCCAGCACCCTCAGATCCTTCTAGGCTCCTGATGTGCCATCGTCCACCACCCCACTCAGATGTCTTTGCCCTCTGTCCCTTTGCTGGGACAGCAGTGGGCAGTAATCCTGTGCTCTCACTGGTAGGCTGGAGTTGAAATTACATTCTCCAGCAGAAAATGAAACTTTATATCCTGAAACTGAATCATCTTGCTCTTCAGCCGTATTCCCTGATGAGTAATTCAGTCTTACCTGACTAAAACAGTCTCTTCGGGCCATCCTATCTTAATTGCCTCAGAGGTTCAGCTTAGTCAGTTCTGGAGCCTCCTCCCTCCTCTTGCCCTTCTCTCCAAAGTGACCTAAGTTCCCAGGGGTCAGACTGTCACATGGCATTGGAAGGGGGTGGTGCTCACGTCTCCTCCAGGTGCTGGCTTGTCCAGCCCCTCTGGCCCCAGAGCATCCTGCCCTGGTACCCTGAGGTGCAGCTGGTGCCACCACACGCTGGCCCTGCCATCATCTCTGTTGATGACATCGCGACGTTCGGTGGCCTTATCTTCCCAACTCCAGGCCTCTGTTCACCTGGCACTTCCAACTTCCCACATGCAGGCAGGGGCTCCTAGGTGGCCAGCTGTCCAGGAGATGTGGACTAGTGGTGTTGGGGCCCAGACAACCCCACAGTCATTTCTTTCTCTCTGGTACCAGCCAAAATGCAGAACTCCCATAAGGCACTTGTAGTTCTCCTGGGTTCCATCCCAACAACAGGAGAAAATCCTTCCCTATCTGGAATTAGCCGTAATTTACCTGGGTGTTCCTACCTCCCCTAGCTTACCCAACCCAGATTCACCCCAGAGAGGGAGGAAAACGTGGACCTCCCTGGCCGCCTTCCCCCATCCCTCTCCAGCACTCCCCGCCCGCAGGAGAAGGGTTTTCTGTTTTCCTTTCTGTGCAGCAGGAACCACCCTACTGTCAAATCGGTCTCTGTCCCCTGGATGCTTTGCCTTTTCTCCCCTGAAGCGGTGTCTCCCCAGTTCACGGGAACAGGGTCATTGGGGGAATGACACACAGGAAGTTTTACCCAAAATGTCCTGCTGTAACGAGCTAGTGTGAAGCACCTTCCAGAAGACAGGACATCACACTCCGCAAAAAATTGAAGTTCCTAAAAACTTTAGGATGTAGCCGCGCGAGTTCTGGACACCAGAATAGAGGAGTGGGAGGGGCGTGTTTCGTTCCCTGACCCTCAGAGCCCACCCCAGAGGAAGCGGCCCCTCTCCTGCGGCACTGAAGGGGCGCACCGAGCACTCCTCCGGCTGTGCTGTGTGAACCCCCAGGAAAGCAAACTGACAGTCTCAGGGGGAATAACACGGGCTGGCTTCTTCAGACGTGGTTCTGCCACACTCTGCGGTGTAAGATCCTGCCACCGACGGCCTGTTTTATCAGGATTAAGGGCAGCACTCAGGTGGGCCAGGCCCTGCCACATACCAGCCTCTGTAACTGCGCTGGAGTCTCGCTCTGCGTTTGGCCGCGGGGAGTTCTTTCCAGGTGTTAACTGGCTGCTGTGCGGGCGC